GAAAAGGGAAAAGGGAAAAGGGAAAAGGGAAAAGGGAAAAGGGAAAAGGGAAAAGGGAAAAGGGAAAAGGGAAAAGGGAAAAGGGAAAAGGGAAAAGGGAAAAGGGAAAAGGGAAAAGGGAAAAGGGAAAAGGGAAAAGGGAAAAGGGAAAAGGGAAAAGGGAAAAGGGAAAAGGGAAAAGGGAAAAGGGAAAAGGGAAAAGGGAAAAGGGAAAAGGGAAAAGGGAAAAGGGAAAAGGGAAAAGGGAAAAGGGAAAAGGGAAAAGGGAAAAGGGAAAAGGGAAAAGGGAAAAGGGAAAAGGGAAAAGGGAAAAGGGAAAAGGGAAAAGGGAAAAGGGAAAAGGGAAAAGGGAAAAGGGAAAAGGGTTTTCCTGTGCAGGGGAAAGAGCCAGCCTAGCCCTTCTGCTGAGAGAAAGGCTCGGGGTTACGTGTCTGGCTTGCCGGCTGGCCAATTTATAGCAGCATGTGCTTCATTGCATCTAGGCAAAGGGGACATGGGAAGGAGCTAAGAATACAGGGGGAGAGGAGTAGTCAGGGCCATGGGCAGAAAAGGAAGGGAAGGAAATTTACAGTGAAGGGGAAATATAAGGCATTACAGGAGTGGAAAAATATAAAATCAGAGAATGAGGAAGAGGAGAAAAGCGACATTAAAAACATAGGACAAAGCTATGGAAGTCCAGCTTCCATAGCTCCATTGCTCATGAAATACCCTGTCAGAGGCAGCTAGATTTGTCACCTTTCTTGACCACTGTAGATGTCTTGGATCAGCTACCAAAAGCCCTCAACTCGTTTCTTACTAGTTCTAGTTTACACATTAATCGTTTCAATATTCCTGAAGGCTACTACTACACTGGAAAAAAAAGAGATTGGGAATGGGGCTGTGGAAATAGGAAAATTTTTGTGAAGGAAAAAACCCCTATTTCTTAGGAGAAGTTCCTCCCAATGCACAGAATTAACATAATGTCTCTACCTCCCAGTTAGCTCCATTCAAGGCTTATTTTTACACGCTCTCTGTCCGACTCTCTGCACAGGGATGTTTCTTACTGATATGGCTCGGTCCCAATTCAGTCTTGCAGGAAAAAGCCAGGACTAGGACAGAGGGGCTAACGCTTTCTATCGCTAGCAAGACTGAATTCAGAATGAACTTTTGCAAACTATGAAATAAGACTCTATCTGCTAAAGCTTTACTTCAATTCAACCAGCCCAAAAACTAAGCCAGTAATCAGCAAGAATCAGCGACTCTTCCATTTGGCACAAGGAAGCAGCAGTATTGATTGTGGAAACCACAGCAAACCAGGGGAAGCGCAGGCTGACAGAAGCAGAAAGTGTTATCGGAAGTCCTCGTACTGTAGGTGTCCATGTATGGACATGTATGTCCATGTATTCAACTTGAAATGATCACTGACTCCTCCATCTTCTCTACTCTTTTTTGGCTGTGGCCCAGTACATCTCCTGGAAGTGGTTTAACCCTGGAACAAGGTCCACTGGACAATTACCAGATGAAGATAAGATATTTGATAATCACACACTACCAACCTTGTTTGTTCGTGGGTTTAACATCAGTGGCTTGCCTTTTTCTTTCGTATGTGCGCTGCGACGTGCCATCACACAGGGAGTGGCAGCTACTCTTAGTCGGGAGAACATTTTTTTTTTTTATACTGCACCTGGGAAAAGGAAAAGAAAATCATTCAGATACAGAGGCAGTGGGACTACTGTTCGTATTTGTAGGCCAACTGTTGTAAAATAAATAGGTACATACTAGATAAGACTCTTTGCTCTAACACCGTGATAATAACCCAAAATTGCCTTGCAGCAGCCGGGAGGAAGAAAAAGAAGGAAGGCTTTACGACGACAAGAGCGCATGAGTGGAGAGAACATACAGGGATACTGATGTGAGCTAGCATTATTCTGTGGGCTGCAGTCAGCCAGCATTCACTAGGTATTGTCTTTTAGCTGCACCATAAACCCAGGGCAGAATTGCCATTAGCAAATATTAACCTTCCGTGGTGACCCACGCAACTGGCACCAGTGCAAATACCAGGGAGGACAGAATGACTTGGGCTAGTGCAGCAAGAGAATTTAAGCTGAGTTTCTCCAATAGCTTTCTTACAATGAAATCTTGTGGCCTGGACAACAGAAAGGAAAGAAACTATGTCTATTAGCATATTAAAACTAGATTAGAACAAAATGGAGAATTAAAATGGTCAAAAATTCACTGAACTCTGGATTCCATGCTTAGATTTTTTAAATTCCAAACCTGAAAACAAGGTTATTTTCAGAGAGAATATATCCTTTCCAGTAAAGGATATGTTTCCCTAACAAAATAAAAAATTTGTTAGTACCACTCAAAAGCTTAGTTCTTAATCTCGCCAGGTGATAACCACTCTCAAACCCATTTTATTGAACTATTAATTGCAAGCTCTTTGGAGCAGAAATTATCATTTATTACATGCTTGTATAACAGTACCACCAGGGAATGTGTACTGACTCGTCTCTAAACATCATTTCACCGACACAGAGAGACAATAGCGACGACAGCGAGACCTCACACAGGACCACGGCCTGTATGAAGACACATTCAGATGGCAGGCCAGAAAGGACAGACGTACATAGCTCGGATGCAGTACCATGCAGAATCCTGACATGGGGAGAGGAAAAAAAAATAGATCCCTTTAGCAACAGGCCTATACAGTCAGTGGAGGAAGACAGAGATCCAGGATCAGCATGGCTGAGAACCCCTCTCCCTCTCCATTGCAGCTGGCGTGGGTGGGGGATCCCCGCAGCCGGTGCTCCATCATCCTCTGGCCCAGCTATATGTTCACATCCAAGATACACGCAAGGACAGTAAAGCAGGTATGAGACATTTTTAAGGAATGAAATGATACATGGTTTGGATTTTTAATTTCTTCCAGATGGAAGCCAAAATTAGATTAAGAAACAAAACTTCATTATCTTAAATATAGCCTGAATATTTAGGAAGACCTTTCTATAATCAAATTTACACATAATCAGCTTTTAAGATGGCAGACTGATCTTACAAGTTACAATCTGAGGATTTTCTTAAAAATCTTTCCAAGCATTAAAAGAACACGCAAACATCTCATGTTTTTCATCATCAGTTATACCCGAGTTTCTCTTCTACCCATTATAAAGCGTTAGACGAAAGCAGCGCTGACATTCAGCGGGATCCCTTTCTCTCATCCTTTATTTGTTTGTTTAGGCCTTGCAACTGAAAAAAGTTCCACTCAAAACCCATGTGTTTAGTTGTCTGGTGGTAAAGAACATAAATTTACTGTGTGGAGACAGGACGAATGGAAGCCTCACCAGCACTACAAACAAATGTTGCTTTTAACATGATAATTCCCCCCTAAACCAGCTAGCAGTGGACTAAACACAGCTGGTCTGCCAGAACTCAGGGCAGCTGGAAACCAGGATCAGATAAGCAAAATTAATTTTGTGCTGCAAAACAACCAGCCTTTAGGAATGGCAAATTCGGTCGTAACTGTTTTTAATTCTGAACGCCCATTTGCCATCGTTACCCAATTGCGAGTCCATCTCCTCATGCACGTGAGGCTAAAAATGATCTGCGATTACAGTGTCGCAGCAAGCCTCAGCCTGCAACGCATCAGTCTGGTGTCAGGGTGGCTTCAATCTGACATGAGCAAATACCTTAAACAAGGAATTAAAAAGTAGGCCAAACACCACACCTTATCTTACTCTAATTAAATTTAAATTAATTCATTGCAATTAATGAGCATTTAAGAACCAAACCAGATTGTGGTCTGGATTTCTCCTAACTTCATCAATTAAGTCTCTAGTCAACAAGAGACACCGACAGAGACTTTTTAGGAGGGTGATTCAAATCTTACTTTCTTCTCTATGAGAGAGGAGACTTGCTCCTCTCCTCTGAGGTGCCATACAGGCACCTAAAATGATTCTCTTGGTGGAGGCATCTCAGATGTATACAGCAAGTGGGAGAATCAGGCTTTGTTTTCCACTCAGTCCCTCCCTGTTTAGATCCAAGAGATATGATCCCAGTTAATTTATACCCAGCATAAAACCTGACTGGTTACTCAGTCCTGAGTTCTCCTTCCCCTGCTCTTCTAATTGTTTCCTATTTCTGTCTCATCTCCCATCTTGCACATCTCCTCTAACTCCTTCTGTCGCAGACTTTAAAACATTTTTTAGCAAGAAACTGCCCCCAAAACTCACCTTAACATGACCTACCCTGAAAGCACAAAGCAAGCATCCTTCCCCACCCCCTGTCCATACTCCTCCGCAGGAGGGCCAAAAGCTCTGCGCTCTGACCGCGGCCCTCCGTGACTCACCTACCCTCTCCTCCCGGCTCTGCTGGCCACCAACCTGGCAAGAACAAGCCACCCATCTGCCCAGGTCCTCCTGCTTTAAAAGTCCTAATTCCTCCTCAAGAATACATGCACAGGACAATCCAGCAACCCTCATGATTAAAAATCAAGGCTCCATCTATACATGCCACTAGTAGTTTAATGCTTTTTAAAACAGACTAAAAAAAACTTTAAAGCAGTTTAATGCTTTTTAAAACTCCCAGGCTGACTCCACTCACCCCCAGCTGAGGCTCACAGGATGGCTTGAGCCAGATGCAGCACCGGGGTAGACATAAAAACTGCTCACACCAGGAGTTTGGGCTTACATCTAACAGCTTCTCAGATGAAAAATACCACCAGACGATAAAAATACTTTCGATGCAGCATGGTCCGACTGACAGCAAATAAGCTGCCCTGGGCAGCTCCGCTTCTCCTCTGGCCTCGTGGGAAAGGGCGAAGGGACATGAAGACTCAGGCCCGGTGACTCATATTTGCCAGCCCTGTTTCTGGGAAGCACTTCGGGCAGGCAGCAAGCTGCAAGGACAGGTCTGGAAGAAAGGTCCAAACCGGTACCTGGTTTCAAGGAGATGAAAGGGTTGGGTCATGCTGCTTTGTGGGAAGGTTTTTAAATGGTTTATGATGGGTTTCGTAGAAGAGAGGCCAGGGTTGAGATGGTGGTACTTTAACCATAAGAAAAAGGAGAGATGATTTTAACGGTAAAGGCTGGTAGAGAAGGGAGAAGGATGTCAACTGAGGGAAAGACAGGGGGTTGCAATGATGTGAAAACAGATACAGAGAGGACTGAGGTTGTGCAATGTCCTGTGAGGAGGAATTAGGAAAAAAGCAGAGGAATTGAAAGAGGAATAACATTCCTGCTAAAACATGTGTCAGCATAACCAGAACAAGGATTTCTTTTCTTCTTTTAGTACTTGACAATGGTAAGGACTAAACAAGACTGTGGTGCACCACTAGACTTAATCCAATACAACTGGTAATTTTTGACTTATTACCACATACATGCTGGTCACAATTTGAGAGAATTAAATTCTTCAGCATACCAGTTGACAGCTCTCGTCTGTGCCTTATCAGGAGGCATCTGGCCAGGTCAAACTAATTACCAATACAGTACAAGTGCCCTTATCTAGGAGCAAATGTTTTGCTGCTGCAATTATGGATTTGTTAAGTTGCAAAAGCTACTTTTAAGGGAAAGGTTCATCATACTTTTAAAAGGTACAATTACATTGCTCAGAGAGTCAGGAAGCTCTGTGTCAATTAAAGCAAGGTCTGCTTCAATTACTGCACAGGCTGGCTGACTTGTGGATTATACCTTAACACGAAGGAGTATCTCTCACTGGACAGCAACTTACACTTGATGACTTTGCAGTCTTCCTTCAGTTTGAAGGACGGCTAAACATAAATATACTTCAAGTATTCCTGAAATCCTGCGTAAATGAACAGCCCCAGTCTTTCTTTCATGTACAGAAACTACCAAGACCTGTGTGTTAACAGGAGCTTGTTCTTGATAACACAAGCTGGGATTATTAATTAAAGACCATACAGGCCTCACAGGTTTCCAGTCCTCCTGGCCTCAACCGGTTTTGTTTTTTTAAGCACCACTGCTCTAGGGTCAACAAACATTTTCTCTTACATACCCACAGCAATCTATCCTGTGAGTCTGCACTACCCCGAGTCTGGTGTGGATGCACTATTGCACTCTAGTCTTTTTTTTTTTTAAATAAACAGACAAGCTTTGCCTACCCAAGCATGACACAAACCAGGCACACACTAGCTGGCTTCATCACTTCAGTAATGAGAAAGCAGTCTAAAGTTATGACATTAGGCTAGTACCCACTATAAATGTGTCTCCCAATGAGACTTTTACTTAAAGCTCTCCCTGCACCCACCACCCTGCAGCACTGCAGCAGGTGCTTTGCGGATCAACGGGGAAGAGGGCACTTCCATTTTGCAATGGGAGCACCCCAGCGCGTACATGTGCAGAGGAAGGAGCAGAAGGATGAGGCCGGACGATGCAGTTCTGCACAGCAACTCAGCACCTCTGACTCCCCGAGCTGACCAGATGCTGTCGGGGGAAGTTAGCAGAAAATGGTGGTAATAATATTTCAGGTTCCTTCCAGCAAAGTCCTGAGCCGTCATTTTAAAGGACGTTTCTAAGGTACCTTGAGATCTAGAAAGTAAAATCAACAATCGTATTGGGGGGGTGTTACTAATAAAGTGTTCAGCAGTGGTGAGCGGGTCATTTTGGAAGCAGATCTTGAAACTACTTTTCTTCCCTCTTATTCTGAGGCAACCAGTTCAACAAGGAGAAAAGTTAGACACAGAGTACTTAAGCAGAGTAAGTTCACAATTTGAGGCTTGAAACATTCAGCAAATAAAACACACTTAGGTGAATTCAAATGAGAATAATTTCAGAACACCTCTGTAAAAAGAGCATATGTACTTTACATTAACTTACAATATTAGCAAACTTCTCGCAGTACAATTAGAAAGTAGTGCTAAATCGTTTGGTGTTGGAGTCTTGGTTCATAAAAGCTCTTACCGCACAACATCAGAGAGCTATTTTTTTATACGTTAATGGATCTGTCCTAAATATTTTTCTTAAGCTTCAGAAAGTCCATTATCTTGTACAGTGGAAGTATTTTTGGCCTACTCTGACAAGATGTATTCACATTCTTGATTTTATTCCATTTGTCTTACCGGGAGGGCTCCCAGTAGTAAAGCTAAGCGCATCTATGTATGCGGGACAAAGGCCTTATCCTGCAGAATCCTCAGAAAGACTGCAGAATAGTAAATTCCTCCAAATAAACAGAAAGCCACTGTTGCTTTATTCTGAAGAACTGGTACACAGCTGTACTAGAGCTGTTTTCTTCAGTTCAAAAATACAGATTTTTTGGATGTAAGTCAAGAGAGAAACAAGGATGTTCTCAACAACCGCTGCACACTTACAAAAGGGAATTCGTCCTGGGAGAATAACTCACGGAGAATAAAGCACGGAGAAACTGAGCTGCTTGCTAATTCAGTGCCAATCAGGTGAAGGGTAAGCCTGTCAACCACTTACCAACCTTGGTGTGCGCTACAGTTAGGACTTCAAAAAAAATCCTGCTTAAATTACGGAAGAATCTGAAAAACTATCCATACGCAATTAGTTACCAGCCCAAGTAACGCAAAGTGTTCCTTCCGTTGCAATAAAGGTGCTGCCACCAGTAGTAAAGATGAACGTTCAATTAGTACTCGCTCAAGCATGGCACAGAAATAAACGTTTTCACAGTTTATTTCTTAGTTTGGAGAAGAAAAAGCTTCAAATCTTGCCTGCACTCACACTGCCGACTCATAACGCTACCACACAGGATTATCAGAAGTTTTGTCCTGGGACTGTAAGACACACTTTCTCTTAAAATACGAGCTCAGGCTAACTTTCTATAGACCTGACCACGTCTAATAAGAGCCAACAACACGTTAGACACTGCTGGCTGCACACACACACGGACTACCTGCAGAGTTTCATTCCCTGCCTAGCTCTTTGTATTACCCATGTGTCTATACACATACATAGAAAACTTCCCTTTGCTGTTCACTACTAACTTTTTGGAATTAAGACCACAAAGATACCAAATAGTTAACAGCTTGCTTGGCTGCAAGATTGGCCTTTTTTATCAGCCCTTTGTCGACTGTATGCTGTATGTTTTTGGGTTTCTTCAAATAGTTAAGAGATTCGTGCCGTGACATAACACACCAAGTTACTCAGAGACCAGCGCTTGTTTTGCGCCATTTAACGTCACGGTGCAGCGAGGCCAAGAGGAGCGTGGGACCTGCGACAGTGGCATTTCAAACAGCCACCGCCACTTCTTTTAACAAATAGCCGAGAGGCAAAACCCAAGGACCGCAGAGACTAGCTCTAAAAATACCAGGCAGCCTGCCGGTGTTTCCTCTTCCAACGCCGCACCAGCGGCTCTGCTACTTCCCAACTTTTACTCTCTAGCTTTTAGGGCCGCGCCATAAAAGTTCACCGCAGGTTGAAAGTCGGCACGGGGACCAGTGGCCAACGCTGAGGAGCTGCAGAAGCAGCTGCGCCCTGAATTCGGTGAGCTTGGGGGAGCATCCTCCCAGGCTTGACCCGCAGAGCTGCTGCAAACAAGAGGGGCCGTTCTCGGAGGGTGGCTGCTGAATTTGTCACCCATTTTGACAGCTGGTAAACACGCACCCCCGCACGGCTTAGGCAGCGCATGTCCTCTTTCCTCCGAAGCAAAACAGCCGCCTTCGGCGTTTTCCACCTGCCGCCGGGGCCGGCCGGGC